CACCGCGCTTGAGAAGAGAATCGGGCATCGATGCGTAGGTCACGGAATGCATTTGCGTATACGGTGACCGAGCCGGTTGCATCATCTTTTCCACCGAAAAAAAAAGATGAAAGTCTATCGATGGTCTGGCGAGGATAGGCGAACGAAATCCGGCTACGAAGCTCTGATAGCGGAACGTAAATGGCTTATACTAGAACGATTCGGAGTAAACGATGAGTGGACACCTCCTTTGCCGACGATCGACGCGACTCCCGACACTATGCCTTTCGAACTGAAAGGTAAATCCAATTGGAATGTTGTATATGGGGAATTCACTCCGCATCCTCTCTGCAAACGAGGGGTGCGCATCGAACCGATTCGCAGTCGACGTTCGAATCTGTCTCTCGGGAAGTTGCTGAATTGGCCGATCGACGACGTCGGAGGACGGTTCGAGGACACGGGCATGACCTACGACGAAAAGACCGACGCGATACTGATCGGCGTAGAGTCCGTGTTGCGAGGAGACTCCGACGTTTCGCGTTCGATATTCCTCAAACCGGTTGGCGTCGCTAAAGTCGTATCGAATGCTGCTGCTGCTGCCAAGCGGCCAAGTGGTCGTCCGAAAGTCGTGCCGCCACCGCCGCCGTCGACGACGACGACGACGACGACGGTGAACGAAGACTTTTTGCACACCCCACGCATGTTGCGCATTTTCACTTCCATGGTCGGGGATGCGAACGTGGGTCTGGTCGCTCTGTCTTTGGAACTGCTTCGTGAAGCGAACGTCAAGAACGCATGTCGCGTTCGCAGGTTGCTCAACGTCATGTGCGATCGAAGGTCCGATCCGGAGTTGGAATCCATGTCGCGTCTGTTCTGGTTCCAGATGGAGAGTACCGCGGGCATCGATCAGTACAACTGGCATTCCAAAGCTCCCTCGTCGACCGTTGCCAGGGCGAGAGAAAGCTGCGGAGGATGCGTTTCGCGTTCTCCTCTCTGTCTCGGCAGCGTGCTGTTTTGGGAAATTGCAGCTATGGTGCACGGCAGACGCACCCCGCACACCTTCAACGCGGTGAAACTGAAGAGTTATCTGACGGCGGCGTCGGCGTCGGTGGCGTCGGTGTCTGCCGAATTGGAGAAGACTTTAGAGCTGGTAGTCTTAGAGAGAACGAATAGGTGTTTCAAAACCGAAGCCGAAACACTTGGTCTGGCGCAATGCGATATAATGAGAGATGTGGAATTCGATCTCGCAAGCTCGTTGGATAGAGCGCCGAAGAACCGCCTTGTTTTGTACAAGGAGATAGGAA